GATGTCAAGAGATACTATAAAGCAGTGGTTTTAGCAAGAATATATGACTGGACATTTAACTATAAGGGCAAAAGCTGGGTAACAATTGAAAATGATCTTAGTGGCATTAGATTGAGTCAGATGATATGGGTCCCACCACAGTTCAGGGGAAGTAAAGAAAGCACAAGTATCTACACTTTAAATGTCTTTAGGGTATGGGACAATTTACACAAAAACATGAAATGGGAATTTAATTCTATATTAATGCCTCTCACAAATACTGAGTACTTTCCCCCGGGAAAGAATAAGATATCAGGGAGATGGTTTAGAAAGGAGGATACCCAACTGAGAGATGTTTTGGTGGAGGGGGAATTGAGATCACTTAAAGATTTAATAGAGAAGAAGGGAGATATTTTTATTAGAATAGATGAGTGGAAATATCATCAATTGAAATGTTTTATTGGAAATCTACCGAAACCCCTGAGATTAAAACAGGAGTGGAATATGTTTGAAAGGTTGTTAGAGACACGAAGGGATGGGAAGCACGGTATTTCAAAAGTGTATAGAATACTCACAGAATTAGACACAAACACAAAGTTAATTTTTATAACAAAATGGGAAAGGGATATGGGAGTTGGGTTTGATGAAGATAGACAGAGAAAGATGTTTAGATTGATACACGATAATGTTAGTATGAAAGAGGTTGAGGTTAACTATAAGTGTGTGACACGATGGCACATTACACCGAGTGTAGAACACAAGATGAATGGGGAAAATTCAAATATGTGTTGGAGAGGATGTGGAGAGATAGGCACGGTGTTTCACATATGGTGGGAATGTCCGAAAATCCAGGCTTTTTGGAAGATAATAGTCAAACTGATTGAAGAAATAACTGAAATTGACATAGGGTTAGACCCAACGACGTGCCTCCTACACAATGTGGAGACATCTGTAAATAAATATAAAGATTCAGGTATATGGTACTTCTTGAATGCGGCGAAAGGGTTGATACCCAAGTTTTGGGGGAAACCTGAGGTACCGAAGGAGGAAGACTGGATTGATAGAGTAAACCAGATAGGTAGAATGGAAAGATCATACCATATGCAGGAAGATAGGATGAGAGTTTATTTTAGGAGATGGGAAAAGTGGGAAAGAGCAGGATTGAAAGAGAAATATAGGAAAATATGATCTAGGATGTTAGCAAAAAATTAATAAGCCTCAAGAGATTAGAATAGGCTAGAGTCTGCAGAGGGGGAGGAGGGGGGATGAGGGGCGGGAAGGGGGGTTAGTGGGATGGGAAAGAAAAGAGTTTTTTAGTAAGGGAAAGGTAGAAATGTTATAAATGTGTATTTGTATGAGAATTATTTCCCTTTTTGGGTTTTTTGTATTAACATGAAAAATTTAATAAATATTTAAATTAAAAAAAAAAAAAAAAAAAAGTTTACATACCCTGGCAGAAATTGTGAAATTTTGGCATTGATATTGAAAATATGACTGATCATGCCAAAAAATGCTCTTTTATTGAAGGATGATGATCATATGAAGTCATTTATTATCAAATAGTTGTTTGGCTCCTTTTTAAATCATAATGATAACAGAAATCACCCAAATGGCCATGATCAAAAGTTTACATACCCTGGAATGTTTGGCCTTGGTACAGATACACAAGGTGACATGCACGGGTTTAAAATGCCAATTAGAGGTTAATGTCCCATATATTTTTAAATTGCAATTAGTGTCAGTGTATAAATAGTCAATGAGTTTGTTAGCTCTTACATAGAAGCACTGACTGGGCTAGATACTGAGCCATGGGGATCAGAAAAGAATTGTCAAAAGTCCTGCGTAACAAGCCAATGGAACTTTATAAAGATGGAAAAGGACATATAAAGATGTCCAAAGCCTTGAATATGCCAATCAGTACTGTTAAATCACCTATTAAGAAGTGGAAAGTTCAGGGATCTCTTAACACCAAGCCAAGGTCAGGTAGACCAAGAAAGATTGCAGCCACAACTGCCAGAAGAATTGTTCGGGATACAAAGGGAAACCCATAGGTAACCTCAAGAAAAATACAGGCTGCTCTGGAAAAAGACAGTGTGGTTGTTTTGAAGGAGCACAATATGATGACACTTGAACAAAAATGAGCTAGCTGCATGGTTGAGGTGGCAGAAAGAAGCCTTTACTGCATCAATGACACAAAAAGGCCTGGTTAGGCCTTTCAAGGTGTTGTCAAGCATATTGGAACCGGGCTTTTTTGTGGCATTGGTGCAGTAAAACATGGTGACGTCATTTTCCGGTTATGGCTACGAACACCACCATCTTTGTGTACAAACTTACCATGCTGTGTTGTGTCACGCATAACGTGACTTCATCAGGGATGCCTGATGTTACATATTTATGTTAAATAGATTTATGTTAAATGCATTTGATTACATATATTTTATCCGCTGTTTATTATTGGTCCAGTATGCTATACACCCCGTGCTAGGGTTTTTTTTTTCAGTTTATGTGTAGACCTCATCTACACCAGTCATTATAGTGTAATATACACTGTCACTGTATACAAATTTTGTTTATTGCCTGAGAACGTTATATTTTACACCTTTTTATGGATTGAATTTAATTTTATTATTATTTTGTTTGTTAGCGCAGTACTATTTTTTCTCTTTTCTAGCATTTTTCCTTTAGCGTTTTAGTAGTGTTCAGAAGCGTTAGTGTTTTATTAGTGTTTTTACAGTACATGCTGAGGGGAAAAAAAGCTAGAAAAAAACTGTTAAGAGCGTTTTAGTAGCATTTAGGCATGTTTAGGAACATTTAGCATCTTTTCTGCTGGGAAAACACTCCAAAAAACTCTACAAAAACTTTTTTTTCCCTGCTTCTAGACGCTGAAGCTCAAAAAAATGCTAATAGCCTAAAGTAGTGTGCATGGACACATATGATAACACTATTTAGCTTCTAGGAGCAGAAAGAAAAATGCTAATAATTATTATTATTATTATAATAGCTTCTAAGAGCTTAAAAAAACACTGGTGAGCATGGAGCCTTATGATTCTCCTAACAGCTTTTTTCTACATGTTCTGTAAAAATGGTAATAAAACACTAATGCTCCTAAACGCTTTTAAACGCTACTAAAAAAAGCGTATTTTTTTTTGCGTTTAAAAAAAACGCTAATGTGCATGGAGCCTTAGAAAGGAATACTTTTAACAGCTGGTGAAAACCTGCATATCATTTGGACTATTTCACCAGTTCTGTTTTCTACCGGTTTATGAAAGTGTGAAACAAAAAGTTTTAAAGTTGATTTAAACTGATTGTAAATAAATTAAAGCCATTGTGACATTTTATTTATAATGCAGCTATAAATAGCAGCATAATTTTTTTCTTCTTGTAATACTATTATTTATAGGCAATGGGTGCAATAAAAAAGGGAGGAAAAAGGCATCAACATTTTTATTTTCACTACCACCACCAAGTATAACTGTCTGGAGGACTGTATAGAAATAGAGGGCCTTCAAATAAAGAATTGATATTTGATATTACTACATCTCTAGCCATATTACCTTACAATGAAGAATGTTTGGAAAGAAGCCTTTCTAAACAAAAAGAGCACAGAAAATATAAAACATTCTTGGGGGAATTCATAAAGAGTGTTGTAGACTCTCCTAAGAATTCTCTTGGGACTCAACAGACCGAAATTGTTGTTGCGTGCACCAGATTAATGTACCTGTCAAAAGAAGGCACATGAATCTGTTGAAGATCAGAACATTCATACTGGAAACCCTTCCCCAGTGCACTCCCTTCCCAGTCTCTGTGCTCAGCACACAGAAAGGTGCATAGTCGAGGAGCTTTGTAATGGAGTGGGTAGAGCGACTAGTTCCCAGTCATGTCCGCCTTTTGATTGACAGTGAACAAAAGTGGGTGATCCATAGCCACTATTCAGTCCAGTCAGCATAGACATGCCCCAGTCTGAGCCCTCGTATACCCCTATATGCCAACTCAGAGCTGCTCTTAACTACCTCCAGTTTCCTAATCTGTGAACAGGTGTTAACTCTTTAAGAATTGGATTCTTAAAAGTGGCAGTAGTAAGAACTGCCCAAATTTGAAATGTGTCAGTGCTTGTACCAAAACTGCTGCAAATGCTTGCCTGAATTAGGCATAAGTAGTTTTAAAGGGTCCTATCACAAGACAACTGTCATAAATGCTTACTGAATTCCCAAATCTGAATTTATAGCTCTGTAAGTGCTGAAACAAATGCATAGTCAGAAATTGACAAGCTAATAAATGAATGTTGTAATACCCCCCCTAATGAGAACCTGTATAATTATATATGGCTTTATATGCCCATCTCCTACAGTTGTCATGAAGATTAATTCAACAGATCTAAATAGGTCAAAGTGTGCTTAAGTTAGGGTTTAGGTTACAGTCTGAGTGACTGTAGTCCTGTTCAAACCCATTTAAAAAAAAACTATCGGTAAGACAGTAAGCTCTTTTAATAAAAACATGCAGTGAGTTAAATTACACGATTCTACCAGTAAGACAGTAAGCTCTTTCAATAAAAACATGCAGTGAGTTAAATTACATGATTCTACCAGAAATAGATGAATTCTGAAATAATCTAAATATAGAGAGGCAGCATATAGTGTTCATTATGAGACAGCCTTCAGGAAGCAAGTTGATATAGGTATAAGAACAAGAATGTAATATCGTCTTACTAAACTAAGGAAGATTAATGTCTGCAGAAAACAAGCAAGTAATTATTAAATCATTATCCAAGCATGAATCAGTACATACTCTATGTATACTGGTGTCACAGTAAATTTAACTTAAACAATGGCTAAGACTGATTTATAGATAACATGAAGAAAAAATGTGCAGCGCTCTTATGCAGAATCTTGGTGAACTAACAGCAGCAATTACAAGAAAAATAACTTGGCAGATAATACTTATCTTAGAAAACATTAGCTTTTTTTTTTTTTTTCTTTTTTACAAACAGGATTAAAAAAATAGTTATCCAATTATATACTCACAGCTGCTAATACCCAAAAGATGGAGACATACAAATAAGGACTGTGTAGGAGTGCATCAATATGTAAAGCAATGACACCACCAAATACTGCAGACATTCCAACTACCACCTCAATAATCTAAAAAAACACACCAAAAAAAAGAGAAAACAAGTTCATAAAAGTATTTTATAATTATTTACATGCAAAATCTATGGACAAGCTGCCTTAATACTTACAGAGAAAAACTTCATCATCCTTGCAGGAAACTGAACATGTCTTAGATTGTTTGAGCTCCCACAAGTTGTACCCTATAGAGAGGGAGATATAAGCAAAAAAGAGATTTGCATCCATTATGTGAACCACGTATTATGACCTTTATATGCAGGGAAGTATAGGACAAAATTCCAGTCTAAATTCTTAACAGAAAGGAGGAGCTACTCTGTATAGCAGACCTGAGTCTGTAGGAGGTGTACATCACAAAAGCAGGGAGGTGGGGCCTGCGTACAAAAACCCTGTTTACTTTGTCATTCTTTAAGGGGGTTTCAGCTATTCTGAGACCACTGGGGCATCCAAAAGCAGCCCAGCTGAGGTGTGGGCAATAGTAATAAAACACTTACAGGCCCACATAACAATACAGTAATACTAAGGGCAGCCTGAAGCTCAAAGGCTTGAAGGACCTTACGTCCAAAGTTTGTTCATGTACCTGCCATGCAGAGGTGATGACAACAAGGAAAGAAACCTTGTGAGTGGGTGTGGAAAGGAGTACATCCCCAATGGGTTTAAAAAGTGCTGACAAAACTAAATTTAAACCCCACAAAATCACAGTCCTCTGACGTAACCCTTCTATGTGCAATGGTAGATCTTGCAGGAGGTAGATTTCTTAACTTTTACTGAATCAGAGAGACAACTGCCTCTTAAGGCCAGGGCTTCTGCCTGGGTTTGGAGCTATCAGGATTACCGGAATGTTCTCCATCTTGATCCTGTTGAGTAAATGTGGAAGGAGTTTCAGAAGAGGAAAGGAGTGGATCAGGCTGTATTGACCTTAAAGATTCACCAGAGCATCCACTGCTTCTGCCAGAGGATCTCTGCATCTGGAGACAAACCTGTCTAGAGAATCAGAGAGACAACTGTCTCTTAAGGCCAGGGCTTCTGCTTGTGTTTGGAGCTATCAGGATTACCGGAATGTTCTCCATCTTGATCCTGTGGAGTAAATGTGGAAAGAGTTTCAGAAGAGGAAAGGTGTGGATCAGGCTGTATTGACCTTAAAGATTCACCAGAGCATCCACTGCTTCTGCCAGAGGATCTCTGCATCTGGAGATAAACCTGTCTAGTTTGTTGTTGAACCTGAAGGTCCAAATCCAGCATCCCCCCACCTATGACACAGGTCCTTTCCGGGCATAGGGACCAATCCCCGGGGGTCCGCGTGCTACTGGGCTGATGGAATTTGCCTGCCAAATGTCCACACCTGGAATATAAATGGCAGATAATGCTGGAACATGGAGTTCTGCCGAAACTAGAATACTTTCTACTTATGTTGCCACATCAAGACTTCTGGTGCCTCCCTGGTGGTAGATGTATGCCACTGCTGTAGTGTTGTCCGACTGGCCCTTCCAGGATGTCTAGCATTGCAGGAACAACCATATCACTCAAAGCCCCATAATATTCATTAGGAGACTACTTTCCTCTGTTATCCAAGTCCCCTGCACTAACAAGTATTTTCCCAACTCCAGAGCCAGATCCCTGAACCAACAGACAATAACCCGGTCTTCGTTGTCAAGTGAGTCTGTTTGTCTAGAGACTGAATAAATTAGTTCCATGACAACAGAATATAAAATGAAAAGGCACTGCCTCAAATGACGCTACCATCAAGTCAAGTCAGAAAGCTCATAATTGCAGCACTGGACAGCTCCTGGACAGTAGAGTTTGAGTCTTTGGTTTTGAATCAGCAAATAGTTGGGAAGGAAACCCCTGAAACCTTTCTTCCATTGGAACAATGGCAATAATTCCCTGGCTCCAGAAATCTGAAAGAGCAGCATGTAGGTCTAGTAATCTGTCGGAGCAGCCCTTTAGTCTGACGAGGACTTGTCAGAAGGTGAGAGATATTTAGGGGCTCAGGGTTTGAGATTGACCAGGGATCCTGGTTGGGTCTGGTCTTGGCAGTAAAAGCCTGGGATTACATAAATATTGTATAGGACCTTAGCGCAATCAATACAGAGTGCTATATCAATACTTAAATGTTAATTCCAACCTGCTTCCAAACAAATTATATAATTTGTTCCTGCAATCACTGCATTAAAAAATAAATGTGTCACAAATACACTGTGCCTTTAAATGTGAAAACAAAAAAAAATGGACATTAAAAAAAAAGAAAAATGAAATAACAAAATTAATAAAGTTTCGCAACACTGATGCTCACACTCTCTGTGTTCCCACATGTACCAGCAAAGAATTGTATATCAAACTAGTGCCGCACAGTAATGAGAAATAAATATCATAACATTAATCAAATCTATATATTGTTCTAAACCAATCTATGCTGAAAATGGGATATCTTATCCTCTGGTGAAGTCACGTGATCTGGTGGCGCAATGCGTTGGAAGGGGCCTGTGACGCCATGCTACTACCCAGAAATACACAGTTGGCCATTTTGGGAAAGGTTCTTTCCTATTGAAATGCATGTTAACTGTTGTGCACCCAGATACATGCACATTTGAAGTTGAGTTTTTATAATTTTGGCTAATTTTAATAAAAAATATTATTGAATATATAGAGAGCACTAAATATCATTTCCTTTTTTAAGCTTTACATGAATAAAAACCCAAGGATTGTGGAGTATGGAGATGGATTGAACGGGCATCTGGGCATAGAAGAGAGAAACAGCAGTCCCTAACCTAAGATATCAGGTCAAAGGTGAGAGTTTTGGAGTGTTGGTGAAGGGACTTGCATTTAAGGTGAATGAACATCACAGAGATACATCTGTAAGAGAATACAATATCCTTGGAAACACTAAATATCACAAATTTTTATGTTTAAAGCAGAACGCCGGGAAAAAATTTTATTATATACAACCTGTAGGTGCTTCCATACCTTTTAATAAATTGTTGATTTTATTGTACATAGTCATCATTCCGGTGAGTAATCCAGCATTCTTTATTTCATAAAGGCCCTCTATCCCCCTTATATCCTGTTCACAAGACTGGTGGCTGATATGTCCTTATATTCCTCCAACACTGGTCTTGCACATTCCCCACTGTAGTCCATGTAAAAGCAAGCGGTGATGCAAATATATCGCCGCTCGCTGCAGTGGGTGCACCTGGGAATCTGACTGCCCAGTGTGCTGCATTGTTAGAGTGCTGGGCCAGGGGACTCCTGGTTTGTCCCACCTACTATGACCTTACTGACAGACCGGGAGTCTCCGTCTGCGCCTGTAGGTTATTAAAATCTCCAAAATGTGAAAGTAGAAAAGAATGCAGCGATACATGTGTGTGTGCAGTGTCCTGTGAGTAGAACAATGATCTGCCATATACACACACACCTAAGGTAGTGCCCACTCGAGACTAAATCCCAGGGCATGAAGGGATTTGTAGTCTCAGTTAGTGGCGACGAACACTAATAGGAAGTGACATCACCGCTTCTGAGATCCATCCTATTAGAGCGCAAGGATTGAAGAGGAAGCTTTGCAAGAAATTACGTTATTGATTTTTAAAACAGTGAGTTTTAATCACATTAGTAGTTTTGATGAAATCCACATATGGCTATTGTACAGATTTTAACTCTATCCCGGAGTTCTTCTTTAAATTGGATTCAGTCGTATAAAGATTATGGACACATTGAACTGTTTTTGTAATTTAGGACTGATTTATCACATTTTCAGCAGAGATTGGTTTATCACAGTATATAGATTTGATTTAATGGTATAATATTTATTTTTCAGTACTGCGCGGCATTAGTTTTGATATATAAAAGCCTGAGAGTAAGGAAAAGAACTCTTCTTGGCTTCACGAGGGCAAGGAATATTCCCAATTTCTGGTTTAGGCTTCTTTTGCTGGGGAAAAAGGAGTACCTAACCCCACCCCCCCCCCCCCCCCGGTTAACATCCTTTATGAGGGTGTCCAAATAGGCACCAACAAGCTATTCACCATCAAAAGGCATGCATGACATTTTGTACATTGACAATTCAGAACCCAACATTTCAGCCAAAGAATTCTCAGTATGTTCACTGACAGCAGACACATTTTGGAAAAAAGACTGACACTATCAACCTAACCGTTTACACAACATACAGCTATGGCAAGCTGCACAGCAGGGTTAGTGGAGACAATGCTTTGAAACATTTATCAGTGGGATCCTTAAACACTGGTGCATCCTCAACAGGTATATTATTAAGGTGGGATATCATCAGATCCACAGTGGGAACAGCCCACTTTTATAGAAATGCCTCCTCGAATAGGTATTGGATGGTAAAACATTTGGGAGGAGTGAGTGGTTTATCAGAAGTTTCCCAGTCACTGTACAGAATAGGACCAATTAAGAAATGTACCGGAGAGGTTTTGACAGTCTTGAGGCCTTTCAGGGATCCCAGACTTGTAACAGAACTAACAGAAGGTACAGACTGTTCTAATTTTAAGAAAGTGCGGACTGCATCAAGTAGAACCAATATGGTATCTTTAAGCCTAGGAGCTATGGCAGGTGCCTGCGGCTCCTCGGAGACAGGTTTGTGAGACTCTTCAACAGACACAGCCTCTGCAACAGAAGGCCTCTGAGTCAGCAAGCATCGTTGTAATTTGGCCAATAAAATTCATGCATGGTTGCAGAGAACTTCTGCTGGTTAATGCAGAGGAGGGAGTTACACCTGAGAGAAGACACCGAGGAATGGACTAACTGAAACGGGACAATGATCCAGGATGCCAGTGTCAGGACCCTTAGGAGGACACGGCAGAACAATTAGTTGATTGCAAGCTGAAGAGATCAGATTCAGCATGCCTGCTCCCCTTGCACTAGGAATTCAAACATGCTCCACCACCTAACAAGGGAAGCCTAATGGAGAACATAAGGTAAAAACTGTGAATAGTCACAGAGCAGGTGGAACCACGTGTCTCTTGCATATAGAAGTAATAGGGGGAACAGCCATCTCACACTAAAAATGCAGGGACCCTCCAGTTGAGGAAAAAGCACTTAATTATCCATCTTTTTGACCCTTTCTATGAAACCAACAGAAAATGTTGTATACAATGGCACCCAACAATTGCAATAACCATAGTAGCTCCCAATGCTCAGCCAGTATGGTCTGCAAAGATTGCGTCACATCTGTCTTTGAAAATTTCTAAACAGGCAACTCCTATCCATGGTTCCAAATAATAACTACTGCAGGAGAGAACACACAAAAAGACACACTCATCACCTTTCCAAATCACTGTTCTGGTTATTCGATGAATTTGAGTTTTTTTATAAACATACTTACAGTACATACAGTAGGTACCACATTAATATTGCAATTGTAATTTTAAGGTAACAAGGGAAGTAGCTGAAGCAGTACATAGACTGGTTAGTTTCATATCAGGGTCTTACCTGCTGTGTTTCTCTTTTAAATTTTCCCCTCCTGTACATACTTATTTCTTACTGTTACTCTAGTTACTATGATCAGACGGGCAGCTGTACTGCTTGACCCATCCTTCTCTGACCACTTATAGAATATTTAATTTGGTCCAGAGCTAAAAGTTCTGTTACTCCTTATCCCAATACAATTTGACATTTATTTCTCCATACTTTAGCTGTTTCCCATGTTTTAGAATTTGCTAGTTGTGGTGCATACCTAACCATAAATTTATCCCACAACTTATCATTAAAATTCCTTTTGCCCACATTACCTATTTAGCTAGGGGCTCAGTAAAGGCAGAATCTTACCTCGGTTCATATATTCTCTAGCACTTCTCTTGAACTAGGCATTTTCTGATGGTCTTTTACCCTTCATTCCTATATTTAGCTTAATGCCCAGTATTTTCTCTTCTCTACCTGCATATGTACCCTCTTGCCTCTTAACACAATTTTACAGCGGATGTCTACTTCATATAAACGCTTAACTGCACTATTCTTTCTTTTCTTGCCTATAACAATCTGATGGACAGTGGACAGTGACAAAAATAACAGGTAACCACCAATCAATACAGTTTGATTAAGGAAGGTAAATTAGGTATCATTTTTTCCAAAACTGCCTTACTGGATCTAGAAAGTCTAATAACGCAAATGTAAGCAAACAAGGGGCTTACCTTTCTGGCTGCGTATTAGAAGTTGTAAATCCTTTTAAGCTCCTGGTTTCAGATTCTCAGGGTCCCCTGTATATCCCCTCTTGGATGAAAGCTCACCAAATTGTCTTGGAAATTTTATAGATAGGCAACTACTAGACTAATACTGATCAGTGGATTCAAATTAATACCTACTGCCGTAGGGATCAGACAAAGATACACTCAGCATCGTTAAAAAAAAATCTGTTTTTTTCAGAGCATAAACTGCTTATGCTTACGTAGGTATCCCATTAATATCATCCTAAGATACTAGTAAAAAACAAACTTGATGAGAATGGGGTTATACTTGGCTGGCCAATTATTTTTTTTCTTATCGGTGTCCAGTTCCTCTTGAATTTACCTATATAACCCAACCGTCTCAGAATAACTAAATTCTGTGTCCAGAATGAACAAGAAAACAGAGTTTTTTTGGCGTTAGCCTAGTATTTCTTGTAATGGCTCTGACAAAGACCATGCATCACTTCAATATTTCTTTAATATCTTATGTTAAGTTCTATTATTAATATGCATCATTATATTTGTTGATAAAAATGTAAAATCTATGTAAACAGCTAAAATTACAAACTATTATTAAAGGGTTTGATACTGTCGAAACACTACCTCTCCGTCAAGGGAGATAACAACAACAGCAACAGCACAAAACAGATACCAACGTGAAATATAGAGTTCTTTTTACAAAGTGGATCTGTCAAACAAAAAAAATGATGAATGCAGCATAAATAACACAGAAAAAACAAAAATTGGCATTACTCACTCTTTTTTCAGGGCAGCAGTCCACCCGCGATCTTGCAGAAATGATCACTATTGTTGCCATAAGAATTTCCATCAGAATGAGGAGCATCAAATTGAAATTTATCTAGGAAAAAGGGCAACTCATATATATATTTTTTTTTCAACTGTTCATTATACAATAGGTTTAATTTGATGTTTGGGCACAGTTCATATCTTTGCCCAGTATAAATGTTATTATTTTTTTTTTTTTAATCCCACTTGCTACATTTTTGGTGCAATTTCCAACAACTGCATCCTTCGTAGGGATAAATGGTACCACATGCCAAAACACATTAAAAGAATGCTACAACGAATGAAGAACACAGATCTGGAATCTAGATAGGACTCACGATTTATACAAAATCAGATTTAAAAAAAAAATCAAATTTAATTTATAATGGTAACTCTGTTTCAAGAATCTCCCAGGAAAGCAATTGCAGAAAAGACCCTTTCTCTAGTGTGACTGAAAACTCATAATTACTATTCTAATAAAAGCACTACAATAGGAATAAAATTCACAAAGCAGCTGTTTACTGGACATGTTCATCAACAGTCAGCAGCAGTCAGTAACCATACACTGTTCACCTTTTAGAATATTTCCACATTTGGATGCATATACTGCAGTCACAGACTGATGACTTTGCTTTGAACACCAGAAAAGAGAAGTCATTTCTGTTTTAAGTAGGCTCATTGATCTGCAGTGTGAAAAGTGGCTGCAGGTCATTGGTAATGCTGAGGCTTGAGATAATACTGATTTTTTTATAACCAAAAATGTTTATGTACTGTATCTAACATAAGTGGTAATTTTTTATTATTCATGATTGTGTGTGAGTGTGTTATTTATTAGCACTATATCAAGCAGCTTACACTGAATCTGCAAGGATTGTTTGTTTTCTGTTGGATTCAAATATAATATATCCTTCAGCCCAAGACTGGAAACATCTAACTTCCAACCAAATTACAGCTTTAAGCACATAAGAAAAACCCAATACCATACAACTAAAATGAGGAAATATACAACTCACTGGACACTAAGCCCCTTTTATAAAACCTGAAGTTCCTGCCTTACCTGTAACTGACATACTGACATACTGTATATAGAGCCAGAGTTGGTTAGTGGCACCTATTAAGCCTTAGATAGTCATCAAACAGCTGTTCACATGGCAGTCACATTAAAGATACACAGATTTCTACTGTCGGTTATACATCAGCTTGTCTCACCTTACATACGTTTTATTGCAGGCTCCACTCTCTGCTCATCTACATTGCTCACATGGTTTATCTCCACATTGTTACGGATACTCAGTGATGCCATGTTGTTTGATTCATAGATATATGAGAGCACTGGATCATGTGCTGTGCTTCTGATTTTGTGGATCACCACAGGGGTTAGACAACGTTGTCTTTATTTTAAGAGTGGGATGATTTAGGCTGGAAGGAGAGTATCATTCAAGTTTTTATTCTAACTACATATTGTGTTTCTTAATAAGCTATTGTATTATTTGCATCCATATCTGATCATCAATCCTTGGTGTTTCTCTCATTTCTTTATCAGTATGGGATGCCTGCGCTGACACACACTACCATTGCATTAGAGTTTTTCAGTACGTGGAGATGATAATTTTATTTCATGTACATTAAAGATACACTGAATCTTTGTTCACAAGGTAGTCAAATGATAGACCAGAAAAATCTGTTTCCCATGACATCCAAATACTAAGCCATGGCTCAGAATGTTAAATGCATTAAAGTTTAGGAACACTTGCTCTGCCTTAACTAAACAGTGAGCTGCTGTTTACATAACATATATATATCAAAAGCCGAAAGTGCCTGCTCCACTTATGACAGTCAGCCTAACTGCTACTTAACATGTCAATTATTCCAAAGCCAAGAATCAAGTCTGTCTTAGCAAAGATACTACCCACATATCATAAAGGGCAAAAATGCATATTTTGACTATGGTAAGCATAAACTGAGCCACTACTCAATGACTATGGCTAACATGTCAAAGGATAGGACCACCTACAGTGCCTCGCCCAGATAGTGGGCTACATGTTAAGCACATACCTCGAGTACCTATTTTACATATAAACTTCCAGGTTGAGCCCCTGTTCATTGTTAACTATCTCAAAAGCTTCAGGGACTTGTCCTGTCTTGTGGAGAAAGATCATTACTCAAACGTCTATATTAAAATACCTAAAGTATCTTCTGGAGGGAAGGAGAGGAGAGAAGCCAGCAGCACTGTGGGGTGGGGGCACACGGGGGGTCCAGGGCAGCAAGGGAAAATGTATGGTGCACAGAGGGGTGATAAGTGCAGCGGGGGGGATTACCGGCACCAATCCCTTATATGTTTCTCTCTGCAGCAGCTGAAAGCCAGCAGTAGGGAGAGGAGAAGCTTTCAGCTGCTGCAGAGAGAACCATTCATCAGTTCCAGCAAATGCCCCCCCCCCCCCCCCGCAGTGCTGATCACTCTCCCTGCCCACACCTGATTCACCCAGCTGTCTGTGCCCCCCCGCTGGCCTGGGCCCCATACAGGAGGACTGCTGGCACCCCCTTATCCACAGCCCTGTGTCTGCCAGTACACAGGTCTGAAACCTTTAGTACCAGAGGAGTCAAAGAAAAGGCATAGCTGGATTTACCAAACTATGCCTGGGCTTGCAATTAAGATTGTTGAACCCCAGAGGGTTTCTTTTTTTTACAATGATTAACATGAAGAAAAAAAGTAAAAACAAATCTCTGCAAAGCAGACAACTAGAGAGAATAACAGTGATGCACATTTGGTAACGATCCTTTGCCAGATATAGTACGTCATCCTTATGATTTTCCAGCGGAAAGAGCTTAGTGTAATAGTAGGTTGTCAACATCACCCCATACTCAAACAATTAAAGCAGGAGTATAATAATTGAGTAGAAGGGAAATTCCAACTTTCTGCGGAGATCATAGTGAATGTCTACACTAGCTACACCATCTAACATACCCATGAGTGCGAAGAGCTAAGGGTAATGAGACAGTGACAACATCACATCCATACCCAAACAATAAAGGCAGAAATAAAATACCTTAGAGAGGGGTGATATGTCAACTGAATGTGAAGACATTGTTAAATGTTTATGCATGCCAGTCCCTCCAACATGACTCAATCCATAAAGTATAGAATGTTCTCCTTCTATAGTATTTACTGCATTTCTTGTTAAAGACAATTACGTTTAGTCAGTAACTGCTTGTGAATGGTTTGCTTAAAGCCATGCAACTCGTCAGAAAGGTAGAGAAATATTTAGATGCAAAATAGCTGTTAAGAGAACCTTGCGTACATCTGAGACCATAGCATTAGCATGCCACTACTAAACAAGCACCAAAAGCTGCTATGGTGAACAAACTGTAGGAAGCCATTAGGCGAAGTGGCGTGAAAATCCCACATATGCACAACTAATTAAAGAGAAACCTCACCCTTATCATAAACATTAAAACAAAAGTACCTTCAGAAATGTCAATCTATAGATACCTATTTATTTTTTTATCGCATAACTTTTTTTTTCTCATTTCCTTCACCTTCTTGTTTTACGGAGGCCATTTTACAAGGGCAGATGACTCTCTCTCCCTTTACTTCCTGGAACTATGCCAGGAACTCTGGGTCTGCCCCCTGAAACACATCACAGGCACTTCTCATGATGCAGCTGTGAGGCCCTGGTATATCAGGAAGTGGAAAAACAATAAAATAGTGAAAGCAAATAATGTTTGCCTAACTACTGAATGTAATATGAATTCATATCATCATGGAGAGATGTATGATGATGGCATTTTAAGTAAAAGGGGGGGAAAGGTCCACTTTAACATGTTCCTAGTTTAAAGCATGTTCTTGGACATATGCTGATCTGGAGATCCACAAACTGGCCCATTTTACTGAAAACAAGATATTGTCAGCTGCCTTCAATTCCACAAATATGCGGCCTCACGGAACTGGGCTTTTTTCCGTGGGGCCGCATATTTGCGTACCTGTCTTTGTGCTGGGAGCACGCCACACTGTGCGCTCCCAGCACAAAGACCGCGGTGTCACTGAGAGCCCGGGTCCTGTTCTAACAATTGGGACCCGGGACTCCCGATTCCAGGTCACATGATCGCTGTGATAGCCTTTGATTGGCTTTCACAGTGATCAGTCACTGTGCAGCCCTGGCCCCCTTGTTTTTTTCTCTCTCTATGAATGGAGAAGATAGATACATGTATCTCTCTAACTCCTGGCATAGAGAAAAAAAAAATTTTTTTTAAAGAAAAAAAAAGAAATAAATAAATATTAAAAAATTTAAAAAAAATAAAGAAAAAATACCTAGATCAAGGTTTGATCTAGTTCAGTGCCAGGGTTATTGTTTGGGTCAAGGTCAGGGTCAAAGGTCAAGGTCAAAGGTCAGGATTTAAAAAAATTTGGTATCAGTGTCAGTTAGGGGTTTATTTACTAAAGCTGGAGAGTCCAAAATCAGACTCCCTTCTGCATAAAACCAATCAGCTTCTAACCTCAGCTTGTTCAATGAAGCTTTGGCAATGAAACCTGGAAGCTAATTGGTTTCTATGCAGAAGGGAGTCTGATTTTTTGGACTCTCCAGCTTTAGTAAATAAACCCCTTAGTGTCAATGTCAGTGTCAGTGTGTTAGATAAAAAGAAAAAACACAAAAACAAAATGCACACTATTGTTTCTGGGCTGTACTACGGGTACAAACAACAAATAACATACACATATATGGTATTGCTGCGATCATCAAGAGCTGGAGAATTTATCTTGGGTTGTTCTTTGGTGGTAGGTTATGATCGTAACAAGAAACACACAGCTAAATAAAAAAAAAGATTTTTTTTTTTTACTATTTTGGGCCAGTTTTCCTTTGATAATAAAAAAAACCCAGGAGATATCCATTACCATTTACCACCAAATGAAAGCCCAATTTGTCCAAAAAAACCCGATAATTCACCTGGATGTACAAAGTAGTTTTGTTGATATGTACAGTTTTACTAACACATGTCAACATTGCAAAATTGTGCTTAGGTATTTAGATTTGTTTTACCCTTAGGCGTGAAGGGGTTAAGCTTGTCATGGGAGAAGACAAGCACAATGAACCAGATCCCCCAACTTCTGCCGTATATACCTAATTTGTTAATAATGTGCACTGCTGGTTACAGACAAACTGTCAAACCAGTAAAAATATAAAAGAGAAGTCATACTGCAGCATTTTCCTGTTCCAAAGGTAGAAACAGTCACCAAGAGCAGCTGGTTAGCATTTTATTTTACTATGTGTCTGCCATTTTTGTTTCCAGTTTCAAATAGGAGGAGCCTTTGCTCTAGTTGCTATCCTTGATTATCCCTGGAGGAAAACAACTAATACATAATCAAATTTGGAGCCATTACAATGTTTATGCTGTCTAATATTTTATAAAAATAAGTGAATCTTTAACTGTTGGAATGGGCCACAGGCCGATGGTGCTGTTACTGTGTTTAAAGTATTCAAAGTGCAACTTTTCTAATTTCTATTGCAGAAAGTGTTTCCCCATCTTTGCTTAATTAAGTGGCACTGCTTGTCCTTTTGTTTAGATCATTTTGGTGATTTACATTTCTATGAATAGTGCTCATTGGACTTTGTCATATCTGAATGGACAAGCAGCAAAATACAGTCATGGTCAAAAATATTGGCACCCCTGTATTTTCTCCACTTTTTGTGTCATACCAATAAAAATATATGCATTTATTATTTTTTTTTTTTCTGGAGCCTCTAAAGCATTGCACCAGTGATCAGCAGATCTCCAGCAGACCTGTCAGTGTATCTGTGTGCCCCTACATATGGGCAAACAGATCATTTCTGACAGGAAGACTCAGCGAACTACCATGCGCTCCACAGCGCCATGGTAGTTCATTGAGAACTACAAGCTGACAGCTGCAAATGCTGTAGTTTACTCACTCGCAGAATACTGTGAATGAGTGATGGTTTTTTTAAATTGTAACAAAACAGGGGAGTGGGGTCTGGTCCATTCATAAAATGTTATACCCTGAATATGGGTTACAAAAGGTGAACTTATCCTTTAACCAAAATGAGACTCAGATGTGAAAAACAAATCTGCTACTTACATTAATTGCTGTTGGATTAATTGCTAGTTTGCAGCCAAACCATATTAGGCAGGTAGTAATAATAGAAAATGTTGATACATGTAAAATCTGAAAATAAGAGATCTGAAAAGATATACAAATGATAAAATCAGAGAAAGTCGTACACAGCAATAAGATGGTAAATAAGATAGGAGATAGAAGATGGCTAAACAGAGGTCATAGTGAGCATCAAACAACAGGATTTTGGCTCAGTATCAATTCACTTTTATCATTATCTGTCCAGCAAAGGCATTCTCTCTTGAGCTGCTGCCTATCATGCAAAATTATGGCCACAGTTATCTGAATTAATCAACCAATATTCCTGGTAACTTTCAGACTTCTAAAACTTTGGGCACCAACTCTACAACTCCCCACTGCTGATCAAGGCACATACAGTATTTAGACCAGTTTTGTGAGAACTTGACACAGTTTAAAACTGTCTTCGAAGAGTCCCTTATAGCTACTCTGTGAATAGACTTATGGCAATATCAGGTCAGTTTCCCAGTATCTGTGCAAATAGCTAGATGGGGGAAAAATGGCTCACTTTCGTTAAAAGTGCTGCTCTACTTCTTAGGATATCTTTCCCGTTAGTTAAATGCAGGAGTCCATCAACAGATCTTGTATGTCAGTACCCACACAGCAGCTACAGAAGCTAGAAAAATACATGCACACAAGCATTAATCATTTTTGTTTTATATCAAAACTATCATTCAATGTTAGCATATCAAATGCGTATAATAATTTAAAAGATATTCATTTCTTAAAGGTGGGGAATATGGAGCACAAGTTGTCTGCTTATGCTGACAATGTGTTATTCCACTTCACAGACCCCCTGATCTGTGCCGGGAACCTAAATCTTTTGGCATGATCTCTAACTTTAAGATCAATTATGCTAAATGTGAAGTTTTGCTAATTACACTTCCCTCTAACCTGGCAACAAATTTACAGGCAGCATTTCCCTTCACTTGGGTCAAACCCTCACTGAAGTTCTTAGGTATTCAGTTCACTGATTGCTTTGAAACATTATATACTAGCAACTATCCTTCATTGTTAAGTACTGTACGCCAAGATCTATTGACCTGGCGTAAGGTAGGTTTCTCCTGGCTGGAATGAGTAAGCATTATGAAAATGGACATCCTCCAATGGGTACTTTTTTTTCTGCAGATGGTCCCGGTGCCCCTACCTAAAATTTTCTTTCTGCAACTCACTAGAATGTGCAGAGACTGCGAATTGCTACAAAAATACTGAAGTGCTCTAAAAAAAGCAGGGGGTTTAGGAATACCTGATGTTCAGCGCTATTACAGGACTATCACTCTGCAGTGGGTTTTGAACTGGCGTTTCCATGCACAAAGGTGTGGGTCCCCCATGAGAAATGTATGGAGGGACATAACCTATCCTACGCCCCATCCACCTCACCTTTGACAACCCTTGCTCTTCAAGTTTGGGAGTGTGGTAATCAGTTACTTTCTCTGGCTCCCTCTGTGTCCCCACCACTACTTTCTGAGGCTATCTGTGGTTTCCCCCTGGGGAAAGTCTGACTTTTTTTTTGGCCAATGGGCTACTGATGGTAATGTTAGTTGTGGTAAATTCCTGGTGAATGGCAAGCTACTTCCCTTAGAAACCCTCAGGGATCGCTTTGGCAGCTTCCCCATGGACGTTTGGAGACATAGGCAACTTCATCATTTCTTTTCCACCCAGAGCCACTCTATTAGGGCTGTGTCTTTGCTAACCCCATTTGGACGTCTCTTCATAGGTGAGGAGCCTTTGCCCCATATGGTCTCTGAAGTGTATAAACTGCTAAGATACGCTTCCAAAGATACAAAACCTGTTTATATTCGGGAGTGGGAACAGGACATGGGGATGGAGTTTTCTGCTGAACAACTTTCACACACCTATCGGCTGACCCACTCCAGCTCCATTGACTCCAAAACTCAAGAAATAAATTATAAGATATGGACACATTGGTATCTCATCCCCACGGCTCCATTGCACATTTGCCCTTCCACTTCAGATCTCTGTTTGTGGGAATGCCCTGTGATTAGACCCTTTGGGACTGATGTTAAGGCCCAGATGAAATAAATCCTTGATCTGGACATTCCTTTCTCCCCGGTCCACTTCCTACTCCACATACCTACTCTCGCACGTAGCCAATACAAATGTTGTGTATTACCACACCTCTTGAATGCTGCTAAGAGACTACTCCCTATTTATTGGAAGTGAGCTCACATTCCCAACTGTGAGGATTGGATCAGGAAGATGAATGAAATTATGGATGCTAAGGATTGAGTGGCGACATGTAGTGGTGCCTGAGAGCGCTTCAATGGCATATGGGTGGGTGTGGCAGGAGTACACCACTGACCTAGACCACATGCCTTCTAGTCTGGATGTGGCCTTGACAGAGCTAGCGGAACCCTCACTCAAATTGATTTCTTGACTTACAAAGCCTTGGATTTGTTTTTTTTATTTATTTTTTTCTGCATCCAAACCACCGCTCCGTCTCAAAACTTTTTCTCAGCACAGCAGGCTGGTGTCTGCGATTTCAGTCATGGTGATGGAAGGTATGCATACACTTTTCTCCTTTTGACAATAACTTGTATTTTGTTGTTTGTATGTTTCTGCTGTCCATAGCTACCATGTACAATGTCTAGATACAACTTGAAGTCAGGCTATCCAGGGCTTCAACCCCCTGCTGGCTCTACTTATTTATACTCTAACAAGTTGATACCATTAGATGGTATGCAGTGTAACGCTTTCTAATTGCATGGTAATGTTGGACTCGTTTAGCCTTTTTAGGTATCCTCCATTACCAGGGGCTTTCTGTTAGCCCTATTTTAACCAATGTAGCCACTTTTTCATCTGATTGGTTGGTCTACTTATGAAGAACTTGTCTCATAGGTGTTAGACTGGTCCACGGTTAAACTAATAGGCAGGGCAAAGTCAGCAGTGCTCGCCTGTTTCGGATAAGCGCAGCATTACTATTCTGAATGTCTGTATCTGTTTTCATTCAAGACTAACTGACAAAATAGCTATTTTTGTGTTGGACTGTTATTTTCTTAAACAAAGATTCCATTTTAAAAAAAAAAGTTATTTATTTTCATTTTCTAGCTTATGGGTGCTTAGACCATTGGGTTGAACATTACAAATGTGCCTTTTATTATTCAGAAGAACTTACCACATTCTCTTTGTTCTTCAACACTGCAAAACTTACAACAGCCGAAGGTATACACTGTAAATAAAACAAACCATTATGACAGCCTTTTTAAACATTATATAAAAAAAAACTAATATATTGACACTGGATCAGAAATCTCAACAAAGAACTGTATGAAAAATGTACAAGCACTCTACTGTATCATTAGGACAACAATTAAAGCAGACCTCGAGCAAGAAAGCTAAGTACCAGCCAATACCCAGTGGGTATAGAAAAGAATCCCCCCCCCCTTTTAAAATAATCACATTTTGTTTTTATCCAGCTGTATTTGCACAGTGCAACTTATAACATCCAAGTGAAAGACAGAACACCAACATGTCTGGAAAACATTTAAGAAATTCAAAAACAGAATCACTGAGTTGTTGAAAGGGTCTACCCCTTGTGTCAGTATTTTGTTGAACCTCCTTTTGCTTTAATTACAGCCTTAAGCCTGTTGGGTTATGTCTCTACTTACTTTGCACATCTAGACTTTGCAATATTTGCCCACTCTTCTTTGCAGAACTGCTCAAATTCAATTAAATTTGATGGTGACCGTTCGTGGACTGCAATCTTCAAGTCATTCAACAGACTTTCAATAAGGTTTGTATGGGGTTAAGCATGGGCTCTGACTAGGCCATGCAAAGAAGATTCACCTTTTTCTCCTTCAACCACACAAGCATGTCAGGAAAATATTTAAGAAATTCAAAAAAAAAATCACTGAGTTGGAAAAAGAAAAAGAAAAACTGTGTCTGTCTTCATTTCCAGCTGCAAAGCAACAAATTGTGATTATGTTAAAGGGGGGGGGGAGTTCTTTTCTATACCCACTGTATTTGTAACTATACTTTTATGATTGTCTCAATGGGTGCTAGATATCATAGGAATGCAACGCCCCTGCTCACCCTGTGCTCCTCTGCTTGAAATGCTGTTCTGTCAGGGGAATCAATATAGGGAAAAACAGTTCAATTAAGGTGTAAAGGCATTGCTTTAAAGTGATTGTAAAATCTCAGTTTTTTTTCATTTTAATAACAAACATTGTACACTTGCCTGCTCTGTGCAATGGCATTACACAAAGTGGCCCCGAACCTCCTCTTCTGGGGTCCCCCACTGGTGCTCTAGGTTTCTCCCCTTTTTGCTGTGCCCCCATAGGAAGCCGCTTCCTTCCTACTTGCTCCCGAGCTGGGCTGTGTGCATCCATTGACACACACATAGCGTAGCTCAGGCCCCGCCCTCCCAATCCTTCCTCACTAGATTTGACTTACAGCAGTAGAAGCCAAAAAAAAAAGTTTTTGCTTTAGAACCAATTTAACTTGTAAGCACAATGTACCCCAAAAACACCCATTACACTGCACCATGTATTCAATTATAATTTTCATCTTAAAAACCTGCACCCAAATACACAGAGCACACTGTACCATGCACCCAAATACATAGAGCTGAAAGTGCCATACACCCCAGTACATGAAGCACATTGTATTATGCATCCAGAAATGCACTTAAAGAAGAACTCTGGGATAGGCAAAAAAAATCATCTATTAGTACACCTGCCTACACAAAACACAAAACCATTAATGTCATTTTGAAAATCCTTACCATTTAGGAGAAAAGGCTAATTGAATTTTCATGACCTCATCTCTGTAATTCAAAAGATAACAGCATCTGCTCTGCCAAGGAGGAGGTGTAAACAGCATTACATCATATCCTCTCTTCTTTCTGCAATAAAAGGAAACTACAGTTCCCATCGATCACAGAGAATTGTAGTGAATGTGGGCGTGTACACTAGGCCTGTACATGTTGAATGTGTCTGAAAGTCTCGTTCCACCCCCCAATGCAAGTGGGGATGAATTACATCACTTCTTCCTGGAGAAAGAACTATAGAAGGGATGTGCAAAGGCCAGTGGATGGGAGAATAGGAGGCCACTGGCCTTTACAAACAGGAAACCAAAGAAAATTAACAGTTTGATTTGGTTATTTCAGAGCAGCTACTGAGTGAACCAGAAGATGGATGACATATTCAGTGAAGGGAAGAAATCAACAACAAGGACATGTAAAAAAGTTATTGCCTGGAGCTCTGCTTTAAGCATAGTCCTAAGGATAATTCCAGGCAGCAAAAAACACCAATCACCAGACTGCTAATCCAAGCCAGAAAACACTGCTGCTGTTCTAAAGTCATAGAAAGTCCTTTGTATCTTAAATAGTCCGTCACTTAAAAAAGTAACCAGCTAGCACAAACAAGCAGCTCTCATTTCTCTTTTGTAGAAAAAGTAAGAGAAAGCCCGACCTCCACAAACCTCACCCGGCCCAAGTGGTTAGCAGGTAAAAGCATCCACAGATCAATTCTTCCAAGCTATGCTCTTAATATGCTTCACCCAGCCCTTGGGGCTTAATCATGGAGGTAATTTCTCTTTGCTACAGCTGAATGCAGGTGAATTAAAAATTCACAAAGCTCTGACTGACATTTGAAGCACTGTACAAGTGTACTGCTGGAGTCTGCTAAAAACCTGACGGATGTTCTAATCCTTATCCTTCTCTATCCAAAACTAAAAAAGAAAAAAGTTATGCCTTTAGTTACACCTTCAATGCAGATAAGAAGGAGGTCAACTGCAGGTCAAATAGACCTGTAAATTAATTCTGAATGATCTCAGGAGAGTTGCAAACTGATGTCAGAATAATACATTCAATACAAGACCAAAAGCCTTTCAGCTCAGGTCCTTTTACTTAGTAGCAGCTTTTTTTTTCGCTTTTAACACTTTCACTGCCAGGTCCACACTGCATACAGACCTACAGCACTGCTTGCTTTCCAGCTGGCCAGGTCCGTACGCCATCCAGTGACCATGACCTTTTAGCAGTTTTGTTCAGCAGACTGCTGAACAAGGCAATAGCTCTGATCATTGGATGCCAAATAAAATTGACTTATCAAAGTTAAAAAGCCAGAAAGCTAACTTTTCTGTTATCCCTGTTTCTTAAGTGCAAAATGATTACAACTGATGCAGAGGATAAAACATACGAATAAGCTCAAAGTAAAAAATAATAATGTAAATGCTTACAGATCCTGCAGCACATCTCAAATAGTCCATTTCAGAAGGGAATACATTTCCTAAGTAAAGGGAAAATCCTGAGGTTCCAAGAAGGCAACTCTGCAATCAAAGAATAGAGTTTGCACACAGAAATTATCAACAGCATTGAACAATGACTCTTGTAAAATATATCAGTGAAGTTGCCCAATAAAGCATATCTATGGTCAAATTTTAAAACCCAATATTCTTTTCCACATCATATTTAAATTATTTCTAGCCTACTGCTATTAATTTGAATGATCTTAAAATTTGTAAAACTCTATTTGAAACTATCCCCACACATTTACTTACTTGAATTCTGTGACACGTATTAATTATGCCCTTTGAGTAGGCACTGCTGTGTTGCAGAATTCACACAGCCTGCCTTCTGAACTACAGAGGTGCCGAGAGATTCATGAGTTGAAGTCCAGAAGTACAGAAATCATTGCTTTCAGGCAGGAAGGTACCATGGGATATGTAGTCCTTAGAAACTAAACATCAGAGGAAAAGCTACAACACAAGCAGGGAATATGGAGTGTTGTGGATAGAGATGTCACTGCAGGGATGTTTAATTCCTATCGTTTGACGCCCAGGACATGCAGTTTTGGGCGCCGGGCAAGAAGTTTTGAGTTAAATTTAGCCCTACTGCGGGCTACTCTGGTGCTGGCAATAGCTGGAGACAGAGAAGACTGGCTTCTAGGCTGGCAGCACAAAACCCTCACTGCTGTGCAGAAGACAGCAGAGGAGAAGGCAAGGGAGTGGTGTTTTTCTTCAGTGCGGTTGTCGTTCTGAGCGAGTACACCGTACACGGACTCCTATAAAACATTCCAACTGTCTGCAGAGTCAATAGCTAAAGACTTTCAAACTTAGTGTGGCCTTCAGATTAGCACAACAACAATGCGCAGAGGTTCATGGAATGGGTTTCCATGGTCGAGCAGCTGTATCCAAGCCTTACATCACCAAGTGCAATGCAAAGTGTCAGATGCAGTGGTGTAAAGCATGCCCCCACTGGACTCTAGAGCAGTGCAGATGCGTTCTCTGGAGTGATGAATCACGCTTCTCTGTGTGGCAATCTGATGGATATGTCTGGGTTTGGTGGTTATCAGAACAGTACTTGCCTGACTGCATTGTGCCAAGTGTAACTTTTGGGGGAGGGGGGATTATGGTGTGGGGTTGTTTTTGAGGGGTTGAGCTTTGCCTCTTAGTTCCAGTGAAGGGAACTCTTAAGGCGTCAGCATACCATGACATTTTGGACAATTTAATGCTCCTAACTTTGTGGGAACAGTTTGGCGATGGCCCTGTCCTGTTCCAACATGACTGAGCACCAGTGCACAAAAGCAAAGCCCCTACAGACATGGATGAGTGAACTTGAGGTGGAGGAACATGACTGGCCTGCACAGAGTCCTCACCTCAACCTGATAAAACACCTTTCGGATGAATTAGAGTGGAGACTGCGATCCAGGCCTTCTTGTCTGACATTAGTGCCTAACCTCACAAATGTGCTTCTGGAAGAATGGTCAAACATTCCCATAGACACATTCCTAAACCTTGTGTACAGCCTTCCCAGAAGAGTTGAAGCTGTTATAGCTTCAAAGGGTGGGTCAACTCAATATTGAACCCTACGGATTAAGACTGGGATGCCATGAAACATGTGCATTTAAAGGCAGGCATCCCAATACTTTTGGCAATATAGAGTACTTCCTGACTTCCTATTCGCTGTCAGTCTCAGGATACTGAGCTGCCTCCAGTCCCTGCAGCATACTGCTCAGAGCTGTGCTCCTCTGCTGTTCCGGAATGGGTGTGCTGCTGTGACCCACCTGTAATGGAATCTCCTGGAATCTTCCTGGCCAAGTGCACTGTGGTATGTGACAATCAGCATGTGCAGTACAGTCACATAGGGCACACTGCACTCACACACAGCATCAACCTCCACCCCACTAATCCCTAATGTCCCTCCTCCCCCCCCCCCCCAACTAATCCCCAATGTCCCCCCTCTCCCCCCACTTATCCCCAATGTCCCCATTTCCTCCACTTATCCTCAATGTCCTCCTCTCCCTCAGCTTATCCCCAATGTTGCCCCTATCCCCCCATTTATTCCCAATGTCTCCCCTCCTCTCCCACGTATCTCCAATGTCTCCCCTCCTCTCCCACTTATCCCCAATGCCCCCCTCATATATCCCAAATGTCCCCCCTCTCCCCCCCCACTTATCCCAAAATATCCCCCACTTATCCCCAACCTCCCCCCCCCCCCCCCACTTATTCCAAATGTTTACTCTCCCCCCCCCACTTATAACAAAAGTTCCCCTTATTCCCCATTTATCTCCAATGTTCCTCCTCTCCCCCCCTTCTCCCCCAACTTATCCAAAATGTCCTCCTCTCCCCCACTTATCCCCAGTGTTCCTCCTCTCCCTCCACTTATCCCCAATGCCCCCTCTCTCCCCCATCTTATCCCCAATGTCCCCCCTCTCCTCCATCTTATCCCCAATGTCCCCTCTCCCCCCCCTTATTCCCAATGTCCCATCTCCCCCCCCACTTATCCCCAATGTCCCCCCCCCCTCCTCTCCCACTTATCCCCAATGTCCCCCCACACTTATCCCAAATGCCCGCTTCTTCCCTCTACTTATCCCAAATGTCCCCCCTCTCCCCCCACTTATCCCAAATGGCCCCTTCTCCCCCACTTATCTCAAATGTTCCTCCTCTCCCTCTACTAAACCCCAATTCTCCTCCTCTCCCTCCACTAAACCCGAATGTCCCCCCTCCCCCCACTTTCCAAAATGTCCCTATCTCCCCCACGTATCCCCAATGTTCCTCCTCTCCCTCCACTTATTCCTAATGTCCCCCCTCTTCTCCCACTTATCCCTAATCTCCCCCTCTCCCCCACATAAGAAATTAGCACATTGCGCCCCCCCCCCCCCCCCATTTAGCACCAATGCCTCCTAACTTGGCACCAATGTCATTCCCTATCCCCCTCTTAGCACTAATGCCCCCTCTCCCCACTTAACATTGAACTCCTCCAGCTCTTCTGCAGCAGCCCCTCTCTCTGATACTCTGTAGGTGAGGGAGAGAGCTTTTGGGGGTGGGAGGAAGGCTCTGTACTAGAAGGGGGGTTGTTGTAAACTGGCCTGTGAGATATGCATTCCTGAGCCCTGCACTCTGTATGCAGCGCACTCCTGAACCCTGCACTCTGTACACAGTACACTCCTGAACCCTGCAATCTGTATGCAGTGCACTCCTGGACCCTGCACTCTGTACACAGCACACTCCTGAACCCTGCAATCTGTATGCAGCGCACTCCTGAACCCTGCACTCTGTATGTAGCGCACTCCTGAACCCTGTACTCTGTACATAGCATACTATTAAACCCATCACTCTGTACGTAGCGTACTCCTGAACCTTGCACCCTGTACGTAGTGAACTGCTGAACCCTGTACATAGCGCACTCCTGAACCCTGCACCCTGTATGTAGCTCTGTCCTGAACCCAGCACTCTGTATGTAGTGCACTCCTGAACCCTGCACTCTGTACGTGGCACACTCCTGAACCCTGCACCTTGTACGCAGCGCACTCCTGAACCCTGCACCCTGTATGCAGTGCTCTCCTGAACCCTGCACTCTGTATGCAGTGCTCTCCTGAACTCTGCACACAGTGCACTCCTAAGCTCTTCCCTTTGCATGCAGTGCACTCCTGAACCCTGCACCCTGTACGCAATGCACTCCTGAACTCTGCCCTCTGCAGTATGCACTACTGCTATTTAACAATGCTCCTGTTAGGTAGTGGTGCCATGAGGGCGTGGTTGAGTTCCTGCACCTATTCTCTGAGAGAAAAAAGCCCTGACGGGCTGTCCCATCCTACGGGACCCCCAGTCAACCAGCCGGTTCTTCCGCTGGCTGATTATAGAGGCAAACAAAGACCGGAACCACTCTGTCTGCCTCTATGATATAGGAAACAGGAAGCAATGAGCATACATCACCACTGTTTTCCCCGGCACCATTTTTAAATATGGATCTTGGTGTGATCAAATGCTTTTAAGGGCAGAAGAGGGATCTGGGGTCTTATTGACCCCAGATCTCTCCATATTTTTTTCAGTGCTCACTATCACAGAGCATTGATTTGAGCAAAAATTGTTGGACTTAAAGGATAAGTTCACTTTCGGTAACATGTTACTTGTTCCCACTCCTGCAGCGGCTTGGCAATCCAAGTCCTAAGCGAGACAGCAGTTACAGGGAGAAGTTCCCCGTACCAGCTGTCACCTTTAGAAAAGAGTGCAGCCACAGGCGACACCTCCCACACGGCTACGTCATTCATTCACAGAGTTCTGTGAACGAATCACCTACAAATATCGACATCCTTTGCGGATGTAGGCTTGTAGTTCTCAATGAACTACCACGGCGCTGTTGAGCGCTGTGATAGTTCATTGTTTCATGCTTTGAGTGTAAAACTGCCTGCCTGTATGGACAGATAGCTGACAGTCTGCAGGGGTCCTGCATGGCACCAGTGATCTACTTATCGCTTGTGCAATGCTTTCCAGGCTCCTAAAGATAAATAGTAAATGCAAAAAAAATAAAAAATTTTTTTTTTATTTTTTTTAAGTGAACTTATCCTTTAGGGCTATTTGCCATGTCCTTGTGTTGCCCAATGCTGCTGGTGTAAACAAGCCCTGAACCTCTACGCTATCAAGAGACCAAACTTGTTCATAGTCGCCTTGTGCAACAAGCAGTTACTGTATATCTTTTAATAGCAGAGATTTAAACTTAACGTGGGAACTTCATCCGACTATTGGCTAGCATTGGCAGAAAGGAAAGTATATCATATTTACTTGTTTTAAATGTTTTTTTTTTTATTTCTTCACTTACATCCTGGTTTCCATGGCTAGGCAACTGATGTCATACATTCCAGCAGTTTTCAGGAGGGGAGGAGGGGTTTTCTCAGCTAACCTCACCCTCCTGCCTGCAAGCCTGAGCTAAGGGCAGATGGATACCAGGAAGTAAATGCTACATGAATCTTCTGCCCATACTCAAGATGGCCACATCCAGAAATGCTAGGGGATGTTTTTCAACGTGATTTCTCAGAAAATAAAGCATGGAGACATGGATGGGTGAGTTTGCTTTCAATGTTAAAAATGAATTAAACAGCGTTTTTGGTTTGTGGTGCTCAGATGCAGTGACGTTCTGCTTTAACTACACAGAGCTGTTACAATAACATTTGGTATTTTAATTTAAAAAATTGTACCTTTAATATCACTTTAAATCATCCAAATTCAAATTAAAAGCAGATTACAAGATGTAAACCAACTGAGTGATGCCTTTTAAACTATGAAAGCAGTTCAACATCTATATACCGCATTAATCAAGGGCAGATTCTAAAGTTGCATACACAGAACATTAAACAAGATTTTGTCATTTTTAAGGTGTTACTAAACCCACAACAGTAAAATCAGTCTATATATGCAGTAAAGCATGCTTGTTATACTCACTGTAGAACCTAAGGGGTTAATTCTCTACATTGTGCAAAACCGCTGTTTGATCCTGACTTCTCTGATCCTCCCCTTCTTCCAGCATCCCCCTCTTATCTCCAGATAAGACATATTGTGTGGAGATACTCTGCACATGCTCAGTTTGGTGTGTATTGCTAGAGAGAGTTTTTTTTTTCTTGGGAGAGTGCATGTGATCAGCACAAGACCAATCAGTACTGTCCAGACAGAGATCAGGGGTTCTGCATCCTCCTAGAGCAAATGGAAACTCCTCCTACAAGTACTTAACCAGGTGCTCAGCTGGACACTGATAGAAGTCACAAGACTGCTCTAACTGCTGATGAGAAAAGGTATTTAGCAGTTTATATTTACTGGAATAATTGCATTTCCATGTTCTGTGTACTGTGGGACACCAGATATAGTGCATGCAGGGTCCTGGGTTAACACTTTAATACCTACCCCAATCAGCAAAGAAAACATCCAGGTTTTGTACTTGACACATGGGTGTAACTTGCTTTGCAGATCCGCGTGGTACTTCCTATTCTCTTGAGTTCCTAGTTCCAAAGTAGCCATCCTATCATAACTATATTCTTCATTATATCCACCTTCTCTGATCATACCGATCTAAAAAGAGGTACAAAGATGAACTTGACATTTGACTTCAGTCAACTAATTTTTTTTATAGCATTAAGAAATGCTAGCACTGGCACCAAAACACTTTTGGTTTTGAGTTTGAGTTTGCAAAGATCTTAGTCAGCATGCAGGATATTTTTGTGATAAATCCCAGGTACATACGGTAACTTCTACATAAGGGCTCCAAATGTAATAACCTAAAATTCTTTTCTAACAATAAACAAATTTACAAACTGAATCTCACACTCCGTGCAGAAGATAGTTAACATTGTAAATATTAAATGTAAAGAATACTCAAAGAAAACAAGCTTTTTAATGTAGATGCCAACCAGTAAAGCTAATGGCTTCATTTGGTTTGCCTACCGTGACCTATTTTGCTCAGAGAAAAAAAAATAATAGAAAGAAAAACCCTAAAAAGTAAAAAAAAAACAAAACAAAAAAAAACCCTCAAACTTTTGTGTGCACAAAAGCTGAACTATGCTCAGGAGGTATAGGTTTATGATGAAGGTATAAACATGGGGAAACGTACCTTTATTTAGATGAGTAGCAAAAAGAGGCAGTGTAGGGCGTTGTACGCAGCTTGGATAAACTCTGCTCAGTGAATCATGGTGTATTTGAAGAGGTTGCTCTCTAGCTCTGCTGTGAAGCAGCATCTATTCACATTAAAGACAAAAGCAGAGAAAAAAAAATTGTACTTTAGCCAGAGAACACAAGCGCCTGTTGAATTTTAATGAAAAGCCCAGAGAAACATTGAGTATTGCTATTATTGTATGGGCAAACTATACAGTGATAAACAAAAACTTGGAGTAACAATAATATACATTAGTTTTAAAAAGTATTTGTGACAATTTGTAATATCCTGTGCCTTGTCTTTTCTAAGCACAGATTTACTTACTCTAGAGGCACAAGTTATGTCAGACCTGTCCTCTAAAATCTTTAAAGGGTCAAAAGAAGTAATACTTGACTTATTTTAGAAATATCAATAAACTCATAAAAGAGTCACAAAAGAACTGTCTTTTAACAACAGTCAGTTTCTCTCTCTCAGTGTCTAAACATCAGGGGAAACCTGAAAGAAATTGCATAGGCAGCACTTATTTTTGAAAAGATGGTAATGTTCTGTGTGGTGTGTTGGGTTTTGAAAAATCATGCCAGACCTGTTCTTTTAGACCACACAGCAGTTCAAAGACGGTACTCCCACAGACATTTGGGCTGTTTTGAGCTTTTATTTTTCTCCCCCACATGTTAGCCTATGTGTCAATTTCAGTTTAGTGGCAGGGGAGTTTACAGGCAGAAAAAAAAACACATCACTTATGCATTCAGGAGAGGAGCTTTTGTGCAAAAAAAATGTTCAAAAGTGAAAAAAACACACATTAGCATACAGTAATGCATTCTAATGGCCAAAAGTATGGCCAACACTATGCATTAACGCCAGACGTGGGAACGCGCACTATCACACAAAACCATGCAAAAACATGGATTATTACTGCATTTTTGATTCTAAAAACTTCTGTAGCTCAAAAAAACGTTTTTTCAGCTTCTCAGTGTACATGAGGCCTTATGTGAACCATGGCTGGAATTGACTAAGACTATTTAGAACTAAGTTGATCCAGTTGCCCATAGCATCCAATCAACTCATAAACTTACATTCTTTAACTGCTTCCCACCTGGCCACTGCACTTTAAATGGCCAGGTGGGAGCTTTGCTGTTCTGAGGGAACATTCCTGTTCATCCCTCAGAATGTGGCTGCGCAGATGTGTGCACTCGGTGTGCCTCCCCTGGACACAGTGCAACGCTGCTCAACAGAAGGGCTCTGTGAATGGTCCTTCTGATCACATGATGGCTGTGTCCAGTCACAGCCATCATGTAATGTAAACACGACTGCCTGTCAGTTGATCGGCTCTGCCTCTCTTCACACAGAGCCCGCCAGTGAGGAGAGGCAGAGCCGATCAGTGAGCCAGTGAGTTTTAAAGCACACTCACACCGATCACCCACACATCTGTCACAGTGATCATCTACATCTGTGTCAGTGGTCATCCACATCTGTACCAGTGATCCACATCTGTACCAGTGTACCAGTGGTCATCCACATCTGTATCAGTGATCCACATCTGTCACAGTGTACCAGTGCTCATCCACATCTGTACTAGTGATCCATATCTATAACAGTGTACCAGCTGTCATCCACATCTGTACCAGTGATTCGCATCTGTCACGGTGTTCCAGTGGTCATTCACATCAGTACCAGTGATCCACATTTGTACCAGTGATCCAGATCTGTCACAGTGTACAAGTGGTCATCCACATTTGTACCAGTGATCCACATCTGTCACAGTGTACCAGCACTCATCCACATCTGTACTAGTGATCCATATCTGTAACAGTGTACCAGTGGTCATCCACATCTGTACCAGTGATTCACATCTGTCACGGTGTCCAGTGGTCATTCACATCTGTACCAGTGATCCACGTTTGCACCAGTGATCCACATCTGTCACAGTGTACCAGTGGTCATCCACATCTGTACCAGTGATCAACATCTGTCAGAGCGTACCAGTGTCATATCCACATCTGTCACAGCGCATCAGTGATCAACATCTGTCACAGTGTAGCAGTGTCAAATTCACATCTGTACCAGTGATCAACATCTGTCAGACAGTACCAGTATCATATCCACATCTGTACCAGTGATCAACATCTGTCACAGAGTACCAGCCTCAAATCCACATCTGTAACAGTGATCAACATCTGCCACACAGTACCAGTGTCAAATCCACATCAGTACCAGTGATCAACATCTGTCACAGTGTACCAGTGTCAAATCCACATCTTTACAAGTGATCAACATCTGTCACAGTGTACAAGTGTCAAATTCACAACTGTCACAGTGCAGATTGAGGAAAATATTTATTTGATCCCCTGCAGATTTTGTAAGTTTGCCCACTTACAAAGAAATAAAGGGTCTATTCATTTTATCATAGGTATATTTAAAATGATAGAGGCAGAATATCAACCCAAAATCCAGAAAAAAACACATGATAAAAAGTTATAAATCGAGGTGCAGTTCAGTGAGTAAAATAAGCATTTGATCCCTAAGCAAAACATGACTTAGTACTAGGAGGAGAAACCCTTGTTGGCAAGCACAGAGGTAAGATGCTGCTTGTATTTGGTTACAAGGTTTGCACACATCTCAGGCGGGATTTTGGTCCACTCTTCTTTACAGATCTTCTCTAAATCCTTAAAGTGTTACTAAACCCAGGACCCTGCATTTACTCTATCTGGTCTCCCACAGTACACAGAACATGGAAATGCAATTATTTTAGTAAATATAAACTGTGAAATACCTTTTCCTGTCAGCAGTTAGAGCAGTCTTGTAACTTCTATCAGTGTCCAACAGAGCACTAGTTAAAGCTTGTTGGAGTAGTGTTCTTTCTGCTGTAGGAGGATGCAGAACCCCTGATCTCTGTCTGGACAGCACTGATTGGCCCTATGCTGATCACATGGATGCTCCTAAAGAAAAACACACCAAACTGAGCATTTGCAGAATGTCTCCACACTATATGTCTTATCAGGAGATAAGAGGGGGACACTGGAAGAAAGGGAGGATCAGAGAAGTCAGGATCAAACAGCATTTTTACACAAAGCAGGTGCCTTTAGGTTTCACAGTGCGTATAACAAGCATGCTTTACTGCATATACAGACTGATTTTCCTGTTGTGGGTTTAGTAACAATTTAGGGTTTCTTGGCTGTTGCTTGGAAACTCAAAGTTTAAGCTACCTCCATAAATTTTCTAAAGGCTTAAAGTCTGGAAACTGGCTAGGCCACTTCATGACTTTAATGTGCTTCTTCTTGAGCCACTCCTTTGTTGCTTTGGCGGTATGTTTTGGGTCATTGTCATGCTAGAAGACCTATTCACAACCCATCTTCAGTGTTCTGGCTGAGGGAAGAAGGTTCTCATCCAAGATTTTACAATACATGACCCTTTAGCAGAGAAGCAGCCCCAAAGCATAATGTTTCCACCTCCATGCTTGACTGTAGGGATGGTGTTCTTAGGGTCATAGTCAACAATTTTCCTCCAAACACAGCAAGTCGAGTTAATGCCAAAGAGCTCAATTTTGGTCTCATCTGACCACAACACTTTCTCCCAATCCTTCTCTGAACCATTTATATGTTCATTGGCAAACTTCAGATGGGTCTGTACATGTGCTTTCTTGAGGAGGGGGACCTTACAGGCACTGCAAGATTTCAATCCATGGCAGCGTTTTGTGTTATCAATGGTTTGTTTGGTGACTATGGTCCAAACTGCCTTGAGATCATTCACAAGCTCCTCCCATGTTATTCTGGGCTGATCCCTCACTTTCTCATGATCATCCTTACCACATGAGGCGATATTTTGCATGGAGCTCCTGTCTGAGGGTTATTGATAGTTATTTTGTATTTCTTCCATTTGCAAATAATCGCTCCAACAGTTGTCTCCTACTCACCAAGCTTCTTGCTGATGGTCTTATAGTTCATTCCAGCCTTGTGCAGGTTAGCAATCTTCTCCTTGTCGTGCTTTCACAGCTCTTTGGTCTTGCCCATGATGGAGGAAGTATGAGATTCTGTGGACAGGTGTCTCTTATACACATAACAAGTTGCCGTTAGGAGCACCTTCTTAAATTGACAGGATTAATCTGTGTACCACATGAGCACATAACCAGTCTGTGGGAGCCAGAATTATTGTTGGTTGGTAGGGGATCAAATACTTTTTTACTCCCTGAACTGCAACTCAATATGTAACATTTGTATCATGTGTTTTTTCTGGATTTTTCATTGATATTCTGTGTCTATCATTTAAAATAGAGCTATGATAAAAATTATAGACCCTTCATTTCTTTGTAAGTCGGCAAACTTATGAAATCTGCAGGGGATCAAATAATTATTTTCTATTCTGTATGCCAGTCTATTCATCTTGAATGCCCAGAACACGCTACAAGATGATAATGAGG